GAATTTGAATGATTGTAGTATCAGGCTGCAACATAACAAAATTGAATAAAGTGAAAGGGGTCTGAATACTTTCTGAATGCACTGTAACCATAGATTCACAGTCTGGCAGTGCTCCCTGATACGGATGTGTCTCTGGATTTCAAAATGGAAACTGTCATGAACTACAGCACTTTACTTTAGTGAAGTTTACATGATTTCCATATATCATTTAAAGTTCTGAAAATGGGAACCCTAATATATTTAAAGAAACTTAGATATGATCTGAAGTCTTGTCACAAATGGTCTGTGTTAATAAAGTTATATTTTTATTTAAATTTTTACAGATTGTGCCAAGGACTTGAATGGATGATGTCAAGACTTAAAATCAGATGATTCTAACTCTGCACAGACATTGTACAAAAAGAGAACTGGATATTTGGCTGTGAATTATTGGCTTATGTATATTTATAAAAACAAAACAACTTTTTTTGCTACCTAAGAGATTTCAAACAAGAGAACTTGACTTCCCAGATGATTCCTTTGAACTGGCGTTTAAATACTGTGGCTGACCTTACTTTTAAAGCGAAATCACTTGAGATTGTTAAGAAATAATGTGTGGGGATCAGAATACAAGGGAGACATTTTAACTTTTACATTTTATTATTCTAGTCTAACTCACTACATTGAAAATGCTGACTTTATTATTTCCACAAATCAGAAAAGAAAATCAGTGTGGTACAGGTACTGACTGTCTAGCATTGAAACTGACTGAGATGTGTTTCAGAAGTGCAAAAATGTTCCTGTATGTGAACTGTACATTTTATGTGTTTATACCTCATGTTGATTAAAATCTGTTGAGCAAAATGGTTAATATCCTTAATTCTGTCCATAATACTCCTTAAATGGCAGTATGTGGATTTGAGCCACTTTGGATCTATTTGAATTCCATGTGTTATAGCCAACCTTTTCTCTCTGACAACAGAGCAGGTTCTGTCAGAACAAATTCTTCACCTACTTTGCAACCCCTCTCTAGAACAATGGGGAAGCTACAGCAAGTTTTTAAGTATATAGGAGGGGCTGCTGGTTGGGCAGGATGATGAGAACGTTCAACCAGGTCAGCAAAAGGCTGTACATGGAATGTTGTATGTCACACTGTTTTGGGTCAAATTACTTAAATTTGTAAATGGTTTATTAAAAAAAAAGGGGGGGGGAATCCTGCTAGGACATCATTATCCTTTGTATTATGCTCAAAACCAACAGTGATAAAAATACAGATTATGTATTCTTATTTTATATATGTTCTGCAATTTAAAACAACCACAGAAGAAGTAAGACACAATGTATTATTCTTTAAAACTTTACATTTTGATTGCATTTGTTGAGATGTGCATTGCTTGAAATAGAACATTAGAGTTACCTGAAATATGCACTGTGGTTCAAAAACATCTTTATGCTTAGAGGTATATGTAGAACATTCCCATTTTAAACATTTATGATATAATGTGTGATATTGAAGGGAAAAGATGGGTTTAATCCAAAAGAAGTAGAGTAATTAGGAATTTCACATAATAGGTATATGTCTCTTGGCGTTCCTTCTGGGGAAATTGGTGACATACTCTTTGTGATCAACCTAAAATGAACAGAAATGTGTAATTACACTAAGTTGCACTTAAAGTCAGTTGAATGAGAATTAAGTCTTGACTGGTCTTGTTGATTCAATAGGTAAGATCAGTTAAGTTTTGATCAAATCCACTGCTACTTTATAGAAGGCAAAGACTAGAATATAGATAGCTAGATTAGTAGGCTATTAATTGAGCCATTTGCTTTTCAGATTCTCTAGGAATATCCCAAGTGTGTGTGTGTGTGGCTTTAATGGCTTGATTCAGCTGTTCCTTAAAGAAGTAAAAATGTAAACTTAATGCATGGATCCTATAAAGCAGTTTTCCAGTTTTGGGGGGAAATGGCAATTTTATATCTTCCCTGTTTCAAGACATGAAGTGCATTAAAATATGAATAAATAAACTATTTTTCCTGTTATTTTATGCTGCAACTATTGTAAAGGTGGAGGATAGGGGAATAAGTTGGTGCCTAGTATAGGAAAAATACAAATTATTTGGGATGCTATTTTAGTCTTCTGAATGTTATGCCTAGCATTCTTTCCAGGCTTAATGGGTTATTTAGAAACAAGTGCATCCTTAGTATCAAATAAACTCAATCCCTCCCCCCCGTTTTTTTTAAAATCAGGCATTAAGTATAACTTACTCTGTATATGACAAGTTGGATCAAAACAATTAACTATTTAAATGGTTGGAGCTCAGTACACTGGCTGCTTTCTACAACAGTCCCTCATCAGTTTTTCTGTTGGCGGCGTGCGTAAAATTAGTAGTGCCATTAAATTATATATCAGTATTTGGCAGGAGAAAAAATGGCACATAGTAGTTTTTGAATGTTTTACTACAAACTGGTCTTGAAATAACTCTTAATTTCAAAATCAGTTTGCTGCGGAGATGGTTTTTTGTGAGGAACGAACAAATATTTAAGCTTCTTGTGAGTTGTTCCATGCTTCTTTGATTCTTACTCGGAATATTTTTTTAAAAAATTCACATGTCATCAAATGAATGCATTGAAAAAATTATGTTTTACAAACATAATTAATATAGTTAAGATTGAACTAGAATGGATTAACCTTTTGAATATATCCAAATTACCAAATTTATTAAATACCCATACTAACATAGAAAAGTATGAATGAGAGTGCATGAGTTCCCAAACAGGTTGAGTTTCTGTAGGTTAAAAAGAAGTTTTGAGAACCAATTTCCTTCTGACGTTCATTATCTCCTCCTAGACGAAGAATAAATGGCAGTCGGGTGGGAGAAGGGTGATGTAGTCTTTCAGAAAAGATTTACCCACTGTTTTCAGTGACTTTAGTAAAATTGAAAGCATAGAAACCCACAGGCATTGTCCAGCTCTGATACTTGACTGACTTTCAGCATTAACAACAAGAAAGGTGCTTGCACAACTTTATTTCACATTTGAATCCACTAGCAGTGGGCAGTTGGATACCCTGAAAAGGGGTTAGAAGAAAGCTTAACAGAGCCTCTGGATAGTTATTCTTATTTTGGAACAAGAAGTTATCAATTAGTCATTTAGAGTCTTCTTTGAAGCTAAAGCCCATTTTTTGTTTCATGTATATTTTTATCCAAAGCAGGCTTTGGACAGAACAGCTATGTGTGAGCGTTAATTTAAAATTGATCTGTTACTGCCATTCCTCTAAAATGTGTTGGAGACTTTGGGTGTCGTTCCTAGCTCTTACTCTCAATCCACAGCATTTTTACCAGAGGATTAATGTGTGCTTATCACAAAAATATTTATTTACATATATACAAGAAAAAGCATATGCTGCTGTGTGCACATTAAGTGATCAAGTATAGACAACATCTATTTTTACAGAGTGAAGGAATAAAGTGTCCTGTGCTTCCATAGGACCTGTGAATGATGGTACCTTGGTTGATGTCAATTGGTAGAGTGGAAGAAGCCTAATAGGTCAGGATAATACACCCAAGAAAAGGTGAACATAGGTAGCTTCTAGATTTAGGTTGATGGAAAAATTGACTTACCATTTAGTTTAATATTTTTTATTAGCCCTGACTGCATGCTTGCTTCTGTGCCTATATGTAATGCCTACTTAATCTGTAAATTTTGTAAATAAAGGATTACTAGAAAGATAAATATAACATAGTCTGTTTCTTCTGTAAAACCAGTCTGCACAATTAGTGGTCCACTATTGATGAGAGACTTGTCAGAGACTTTCGGGGCTTAATATGCTTAGTAAATCTTACTGTTTGGGAAGTTATATTGTTATAAAGAAGTATGAAACAGTGGGTATGTTAAACTTGCTTCCCAGCAGTGATAAAGTTCACTTGGGGATGTTGGTGATGAATCATACAATCAATAGCTATGTAAACTGTTGTGTAATACAAATGATAGTGATTCTCAGTGAATGATTAATAACCTGTGTGTTGCTTCCAAAGTACTTTGTGAAGCTGCTTCTCAGAAGAAATAAGGACTGCCCTGAGTATTTCAACAAGCAGTTTTTATCTAAGTAATTCTTTTTCAAAGAATCACAATATCAATATCTATCTATATTGCAAAGCTGCATGTTAGAAGATGGAAGTCTAAATGTTAGAGGAGAGGGAAATAAATACTTCTCAAGTATAAGATTTCAGGTTTAAGTTAAGTTGTATTTTTAAGGATAATTTTCTTGTGAACTTGTTTTGTATAATTTGTAAAGGTCTACTTACTCTCTGCAACATACAGCATTGCCAGTGTCTGTGCTGCAACACCCAAAATCCATTGGATAATGTCTTCTTGCTTGTGCTTGGTACTCAATACTATAAACTAGACTTAATGTTCACCTACTTTGCCATACTAGATACATTGTCTCACATACTGTATACATACATGCTTCCCTATACCCTTCTAATGCTCCCATGCCATCTTTCTAGATTAGCACTTTTTATAATGTACATGTTTTCTGAGTCTCACATACATAAATATTTAGCTTTTTATTTTGTACACTTTACATACTACTGCTTTTAGATTCTCACTCGTATCTTTTACATTTTTAGCTTTTTTCCCTTATCCTAGCTTTTTATGTTTCTTCCTAATGAGAGTACCCCCTCCCTTTATTGGTCTAAAGACCTTCAGACCTTAAGACTGAAATTGAAAGCTATACGTATTCAAAGGTTGATGAACAGGATGTTGCAGAATGTTGCAGCAAATGTTGCAGCAAATTATAATTGTCCTGCTGAAAGCATGTCATTTACTGGATTAAGATATCTGTGACTAATTATATGGCTTTGACAGATAAATGTGACAACACATTTTTGCCTGCATAGGAAAAAAAAAATTATTTGTAACCTTTGGATTATAATGTTAAACCAGGCATCATTTTTCCTCATAAATGTATGATGAGCTCACAAGATAAAACTAATATGCTGTGTAACACAGCTGATCCTGTTGTTGATAGTGCTGCTAACATGAAGTATGGAAACCTTTTGTGATAAAAACTACAGCAGCTGTCTTGGCTTACATGATGTGTGACACTCTTGCTATAAATATGATCATTTGATTGTATAACAGCAGCAAAAGAGCCATAGTGACATTTCATTTGCCACAACATTTCACCAATCTTCAGATTATTCAGAATGAGCAAAATATTGGCTGGGAGCCTGCACACTGGCTATGTTGTATGTAAACATCTTCCCTCCCATGGCCTTGTTTTATCTATGTTCATTATGTGAAGGGGTTTACAAACTGTTTTGATTCTTGTTTTTATTGTACGCCATCCAGAGTCACTTTGGGTGAGGTGGGCAGCTAAATAAATTTGACAAACGAACAAATAAATAATACATAAATGCCATTGTAGTCTTCCCTTTCATGGTAAGCAACTTTGTGCAAAGCACAGAAAAACAATAAAAAGCCAATAAGTTGAAACACAATGTAAGAAAGATTAGAAATGCAACTTAATCTAATGAATGCCCACACCATTCACCGTACCTCTTTATACCTTTCTGTCCTTGTAAACTATTCTTGCTTTTGCTTCATACATTTCTGTTCTTTAAACTTCTCACCTCTCATTTGTAGACCTCATCAATTCGATCCAATTGTGACTTGCTTAGTTGTGGTCTTGAACCAATCACTTTTCCTTCATGATTTGTTTTGCAATTGCATTCCCATTCATTCTCTACATGACCAAACCACTAAGTGTATTTTTTACATTTTCTCTTAATTCACATATATACAAGAAACTTTCATTTATACATTTCTCAATGACATGTTGAACAAAAAATCTGCACATCCCATTCCAATGGAAGGCCCCACTGCACTTCCCAAAGTTTGCTAATCTCAGGCAGAATTCTACAAACACTTGACGAGGTATACTTGACAAACTATTTCCGGTATAATTTTTACATCAACTCTTGCTAGCTTTTCCTTTGTACAGCGGAACATTAATAGCATTTTTCCAGTTGTTGGGCACAGATGCAGCCTTCATACAAGCCACACCATTCCATAGGCAAACCACATCTGTATTTAAGATTTCCCCTGCTATACCATCTATTCCTGCAGCTTTAACACTTCTCAACATTCTCACAACATAGTATATGACTTCCTTTTCATCATCCTGCCCCCCCATTTGTTAATAACATGTATAGCATATGTTTCAATTCCACTTTTGGGCATATAACTCTCAATCTCATACAAACCTCTCAAATACTCTCACCAGTATTCCCTCACTTCAGTTTCATTCAAAATCATTTCTTCACTTTTATTTTAATTCCATTCACTCTATTTGTGTAGCTCTTCTCTTTTTTCTCCTTGTGCAACTGTGTCCTGAGATTGACAATTATCAATACGCTTTGTCCTTTGTTATTCTATGAGCTACAACACTGTATTTTTTGCTGAGCTTTTATGTGTAGATTATTCAGCAAATACATGCATCATTCATAACTCTGGCATTTCCCTTGAATCTCCCTTGTAAATTTAACTGAAATAATTCAGTTCTCACTGTGTATCATATGTCATAAATATTACAATTTCATTTTCTTGATGGTATTCGCAGTTTCCACATCTTTACCCATTATTTGGAGGACCATCTCATTCCATATATTTTACGTACTACCTTTCTATAAATCCACATTTTAAAGGCTTCTATTGTTTCAATGATTCCATGCTTCTACTCCATTTTTTTTTTTTTTAAGATAAAACATAATATAAAGGCACAGGCATCTACATGGCACAGAGCCCGGTTATTTGCAGGACCGCCACGCCCTGAGGGTATCTGTTCACTAGATCAGATACAGTTTGTATGGTCCAGATCCCTTCCCTCAAATGTGGCCATCTAGCAGGACCTAGGAATCATGCCTT